TTCGAATGGCATTTTCTCATTCTGATTATCTCATTGAAACTGCTTGACCAAATAATATGGTTTCTCAAACAACACACATGATGTTTTAAGTGAAATGCCTCGTCAGGATATTCGTTTGTGATTGATTCGCCGTATTTGCCATCGCTACATTGTTTCGCGGTTTGCATTTTTCACCTGTCCGCTGTACCTTCTTGAGGAATGCTTCAGTATTGATTTCATTTTTCGTAAGGCAGTAGGACTGCGAAAAAATGTGTGAGAATATCATTCACTCTTAGCCTATTTATTTAGTGCAGTATACAATGACACTCACACTGATTGAATATCCATAAACAGAGACGCATGGACACACATGAGGAACTGATACAAATCTAAAGTCTCGTAGTAGCAAATTGGTTTGTTTATAAAATATACGACACATTGAATAAGTATTAGTCACCGGATGACGTTTCGAATGTAGTGTATTGTTCATGATCATATGCATTTTATTCACACCACTTCAAAATATATGAGTTTCATTGTTTTACTAGTTCTCTCCTATTTGTCATCATTGTGTGGTAGAATTTTCCAGATATGTGGGTCAGGTGTTGAATCATTCCTACTACACGTGTTTGCAGTTGATTCGATAAACAAAGCTTCTGTTATCACCCTCTCCCTCCAGCCTGCTGTTACATTAGATTTGAAAACTGTCATTCCATCTCATCTTTTTATATGTTTGTGGGTAATACATGTTCTGCTATAACTGAATTATTATCGAGATTTTTTTATCATATACGGGTCAACTGATCTAGATTTCGCTAAGTTTTTATACTCAGTTAGTCCGACTGCTCCTGTTCTACTACTTTGAACTATTTATTTGCAGCAGGATATTACATAAACTAAATTGTCTGGTTCTATTGGCTCTGATAGAGTTTGTTTGTAATTGACTTTTTCAGTTTGAATGTTACTTTTACGCATGTCTTTCTAGGAATTCTCCTTCAGGTTTCCTAGGACCCTTCTTTTCGTGGAAGTACTACTGATGATAACCATTCTCCATCGTTGGTATCGTCATTATCCTGTGTATGTTTGAAATGCATTTAGACGCAAATATCTTTTTAATTACTACTACGACTACTATAATTGATGATTTTACGTATTTCTGAGACCCCTTTGGCTAATGATTGAGGGTAGTCATTAATTTTCACAGCTTTACATATCTTATCTTAGATTTTCCTACTTGGTGTTTCTACGCTATTAGTTGAACATTTCACTAATTCAATTTAATTGGCACAGAATGGGATGATTGGAAATCCAAATATCGGTTTATATGCGTGGGTTTCCTGTAAACACTAGCGTTGAACTTCCCATTTTCTTTTCCTCCACGCTAAAATCAAACATTCGACGTTCCTTTTCCTGACTTCTCAATTCATCACAAGTGCATTGAATTGCCTCCACCTTTGAGTTGATGTTTTCGAAAAATCTACTGACTGCTTCGATAGCAATATTTAGCAGTCTACGTGTTTTTAGACTGTCAATAAGAAAGCTAACATTTTTTCATTATCTGATCTGAAATTATCTAATCTATGTTTTAGTCCATAAGTTTATCGGTCCAGATTTTGAGAGGCTTTTAAGGGGATTGAATACCATATATAAATACTTCAATAATCCATAATTTTGTGAACATCTAAGTTCAACTAGAGGTCTAATAGGGTATCCTGGCACATTAACCCTATGGTGTTGCTTAATTTTGCACTGAAGTTTCAGCTGAAGAAAAAAATCATCCTTTGTGTACAAGCCAGTCTCATATTTGTTTCACATACAATCGTACACATAATCTCTATTCCACTCATCCGTACTGCTGACAGTATTGATATTGGAAATTAAGAGTTCACTGCTCTCTACATCGAATTCCAAGGACTTCTTATCCGAATATTTGCTTCCACTTATTAGGTATTATGTTTACTATTGTAACAAGAGAAGACAAGAGTCAGGCAACAGATCGTTTATTAAAGAGATCAACACGTATTTATATATTTTCATGTACACCGTTATAGCTTTTCAAGCAAACAAACGCACTCTTCTGATTGGTTGTTTCTTACAGAAAGTTGACCTTGCATCTCTTTGTGACTGTTGCTTGAATGTCAGGTCATCTATATGTTAACTGTATCTGCCTACACAAAGTCTTCTGTGATTGGTTGTGGAATCAGTCTTGTTCATATTTTCTCACGATCAATATATGCAACATAAACACTGACGTAAATTAATGTCTACCAATCGGCTAGCAGCCTGCTCTCACCGCCCCAAATGATTACTATCGGTGTTTGGAAATAAACTGAGTCCCAACAAACAACCATTTGATAAGGACTCTTTTCTACTACATCCGCCATTTCTGTCAGCAAAATGAAGCGGTGTCTTATCCAGGTAGGGCTCTTAAATACTAATAATGACAGAAGTTTATACTGCAATTTCGAATTTACCGATTAGATGTGAAATGTATTTTACACTGTCTATGACACGTGTTGTTCATCTGTGGTATTCCAGGGTCAGAACGATTTTTTCCGCGTTTTATATATTTGGAGGAATTTTTCAGACATTTCACTCTCCCCTGCTTCCTGGCAATTACCAATAAAGAGTATCTGCGGCGCTGAAGCAACTCATATCATTTTTGGATTTGAAACCACCTAGACCAGTGCTGCAGTCGAAGACATTACGACTCATCTATTCTCGCTCACGATTCATCTCATTTAGGACTGAAACGGATATGTTGTCTGACAAGTTGGAAGTGACAGAATAAACTGACAGTAGAGACAGGACTTCAAGTAAACGTACAGAAGATAGTCAGATCATCAGCGTGTCAAGCGTAGTTGGCTCTTTCTAAAGGGTTCAAGTCGTGTGAGACGAAATATGCAACATTAGGAAAATGTCTAACCACGAATCTGTTCTTCCTGTTAGAAAAATGTCCTGTTCAAGTACCTATTCCAAACTAGATCAGTATCAGATAGACAATGATTCCAGCTGGGTTAGCCAATTCACATGCCTGTGAAATCGTGAGTGAATAAAAAAGACAGGCTACCGGCTGCTAATTAGGATTTTTGAATACGTGTTGGAGAGTGTACGTTTCAGCGGTTCAACTCCATCCACCAGCGTGACATCTCAGCACCTGGTTGGAACATGTGAAAATATCAACATACTGACGTGTGTTAGGGTGATGTTGAACAGACAGATCACTCCAAGATGAATCCCAATACCTGCTGCTGTCGTCTTCGAATTATTCAAGCCTGAATTGTCTTCAGAAAACGAAGACTGTTCTCAGCTTATCACTTTATTGATAAGCGATCAAGTCAACTCAATGATGTGGTGGTGGAAGTATTAGTAGTAGCCGCGGTCACATAATCTCACACAAATTTAAATTTCTATTCCATTCCATTGCCATTCCATTTGTCAAACTCACTGTTTTGTCACTTCATACTGAACGATAATTACAACATAACACTTATGTCATTTTAAATTGCATTTCATACTTTCATTGCTGTTATCTTGAGGAAAATAAGGACGCAAGACAGCATTCCTTCACTGCAAATAATTTTCCCAGAAGCATACCATGTATGACTGCTTGACAGCTTGATAGTACATTCTTGTAGAAAAAGGGTTCTCCGCTGAACTACCTGATTTGTGTTTTATTTCTGGTTGAACTAATGAACTAAAAATATTATTCAGGTACATTACAAAACTGATTGTTATACTTGGAATGTCGAATTCATGAATGTTTGAAATTCATTCAATAGATACTAGAATACAAGTTGCACTGAATGAGTGTTCGGACGTTTTTGAAAGTAAGCACTCATAACCCACCGAATGGTTGAACGCACTATCTCCAGGTTACTCAGTGTGCTCGTGACAATGCATTCTCTAGACACGCATCAACTAGGTCAGATGAGCTGTCCAGATAAACATAGTTTTCTTCGGTCGGTTCATAAAACAAGTAGCCTTGGAATCATCATGAAAGTCCTATTTGAAGAAAATCGAATTTTGTTAAGATTGTCTAGGATGAAGGAGTAGATTACCGACAAACAAGACACCTTGTTATGTCTCACTGTGTGTGTCTATTGTTTTGTTGTATGATTGGATATTGAATATGATTAGTGTACAGATGCGATATGCTTGTGGTTTGTTCTAGCGGTCTGAGTTATTCATTTGTTTAATGCACAAATCCGAGATGTTGTCGGTTGGAATGCCACCTCCATCATGTTATTTCAACCGGAGGAATCATCGTCATGACAATAACAGTAATGAATAAAGTGAAGAAAAACCTAAAGAACGTAGTATGCTATCGACTGGTTCGCTTTGCGAAACTTTATCCAGTCAGTTGGATATACTTGAGCTATACATACAAAACGAAATTACTCCACCTCTCCTACTTTCAGGGGAATAAACGTTTGCTTCCTATCAAACTGATTCCCATCTCTTTGTCGATCCGTTTTTCACTTTTACACTTATTTTTTATTTCTTAACAGCCCACTCTCACATAACGCCTCACTTGCTTTCGTTTCAATGTGCATCATGATCACGACTATTCATCTTGATACGCCACTCGAATACAGTTGATCAACTCCTACGATGCATTCACAACAACTGTGATTATGACAGCTGATCACTTCTGATGACATCTTTTTTTATTTAAATGCATATAAATGTGATTGCACATGGGAAGCGGAAGATGAGTCCTCAGAGAAGTGCCACTGATCTGAGCTATGTGATCTGTTTCTACAAAAATGTCTGCAAGGCGATTCTTCATGAGTGTCAGCAACATTGAATTTTCCGCTGTACCACAAATTGTGTACGTGACTTCTCAATTCAACTTGAATATCGGATACTTCCTGCTAATTGTCACTCCCATACTGTTAATGTCTCTTCATAAAAAAGGCAACTCGACATGAATTACTCATGCAGCGCTGTAATCAATCATTCAGTGACTAAATCAACATAGAAGGACATTTCTCATGCGTTATTAGGACGAAAGGAGTTTTTGAATATGCATTTATTCAAAAAGTTCCAATATACAGAAAGAGAAAAAGGAACACTGAGAATTCACAAAATGAAGCGTGTACGTTTTTGCAAACATTTAGGCAGAGCATTTGAATGAATATAGTTGAAGATCTGTTTTAGTTATGCATTGAGTAAGGAGTATTATTTTGAAATTTTCTTTGTAGATCCAATGACGTTTCGCACGACCATACCTTACCGCTCCTTATTAAAAAGTATTCTGTCGGGCCTAACTCTTGCGTATGGATACACATGCCAGCTTTTACAGTCTCTGTAGAAAGGGGGAGGAAAATAAAAATGAGAATCAAGTCATGAATGCTCATCAGTATCAGTTTTGATGGATCCAATGTTCATTCAATATTGGATTATATAATAGACAGACTTACATTTCTACAATCAGAATAATTTGTGTAAGTGGCTGTAGATTAAGCATATATTCTATTGATGTTTATCACGCACAGAAGTATGTATCAGACAGAGAAGAACATGTCGCCAAACGAATATGCACAAAGGAGAGGAGATGAATCGGACACATGCATTGGAGACGGCAGAGTGAAATACAGTTCCACCAATTGATGCATGGGTGTGTGTGTTTAGAGGAGATGAAAACCTATGGAGAATCATCAAGCCAGTTGAAGAGGATGTTGCGATTCAGTTAATGAATAATATCTTTGGTATATTCGTACGCCTCTTCACACGAATAACATGTTGAATATCGTATGTTTGAGGTTTTACCAGTGAAGAATTACAGTGGAATGTCAATCATCAAAAAAAGGCAAATAAGACACCGAGCTGCATTGTTTTAGTGACTTTTAATCGACTCCCACCAGCAATGAGCGCAATAATACCAACAGCGGAAGAAGAACAGTCAGTGGACATCAACGTTTGGACGAAAACAGAAATCTGGAAAGCAGTAAAGATGCTAAAAAATAGAAGGCAACAGGACCAGACACCATCCTAGTAGAGGCATTGCAAATGGACCCAGATACATCAGCGGACCTGATGACCTCACTACTGTAATAAGTGCGGAAAGATGGCAAGGTACCTGCGCATTGAAAGAACGGCTACTTATTAAAACTGCCAATCAAAGGATACTGACGTGGCATCATGTACATCCCAAGCAAAATATTATGCCGCATCAGTCTGGTGAAAATCGAACACGTTGTAGATCAAAAACTTCGACCGATGCATGATTTGTTTATCCTGGAACCTGATGAACAAATCTTTTTTTCCCTCCATGTTACCCAGTGGAACACAGAGGTTCAAGCTAGTAGCTTGAAATTCCTGTAACAGTGTTTATTTTACAGGATGGGGTTGCTAGCCTCATTCCGAAACTTTCCTCCTTACCAGCATTGTTTCTGGCTCAGCGAGTTAAATGAACATGCATCGATCAAAACAGGAAAACACTTCGGATCATCACTGAATACAGATTTGAGTGGCATTCAGCTTTCTAAATCAAATTCATCGAATTCAGAAAGGGCTTCTACAGCGTCGATCGAGAGGTGATGCGACAAATATTTCGCCACTACCAAGAAGTGGGACCAACAGTAAAACGCCTCATCCAAAAGTTGTACGACAATGCTGCATGCCGGATAACCCACGACAGAGAACTCACAGATCCTTCAAAGAAGTGAATACAGGAGTAACATAAGGTTACCAAGTATCTCCAATGATTTTCTTGATTGCTATGGAATGGAAAATGAGACAGACAGCGGTCAACGAGGGAACAGCCATTAAATGTACAACACAAAAACCTGGAGGGTCTCCACTTCATCAATGATATATGTCTGATTTTCCACAAAATGGGAGATATGCAACTGAAAGGCAACAAGCTGGTAGAAGAAGCATCCAGAGAGGATAGGCCTTCAGGTGAACATAGCGGAAACAAAGGTGTTGACGATTTCTGGCCAACAGAAACAGCAGTAACAACAGACAACAGTCAGCATAAATGGGAGAAATCAGAAAGAATCTACCTCCTTCGTCTATCGACCTGCGAAGCATCGTTTCAACTGCAGGTGAATCTAACGGTGATATCCAGTCGGGGATCAAGAAAGCAAGGCGAGCTTTCATTTCTCTCACGTCCATGTGAAGATCAAAAGCTTTCAGCATGACATATAAGATCCGGATCTTCAGCTCCGATGTGAAGTCAGTGGCGCTTCTCGAAGGGGCTCCCGAACAAACTGCAGACCTTCATCAATAGCTGTATTTTCTCAGTACTACTCAAGATCAGATGGTCAGAAGAGATCAGCAACAGCAATCGCTGGTGGAGAAGCAACTATAAACCGATTATGCAACAATTATGGAGGAAGATATGGAATTGGATTGGCTACACTCTTGAAAAACCAAGAAGTGACATAACAAACTCGGCAGTCGCTCGAGTGGAAGCCTAACGGGAGGCGGCAAGTTGGTCACTAGTGCAAGAGTGACATGGAGGCACTTATGTGAAGAGGAAATGAAAGCATGCAAACAGACGTGGAGGCAGGTGAACACGTTGGCATAAAACCGAACTCAATGGGGACGTGCGGCTGAAGCCCTATTTTTCTCTAGAAAATAAAGAAACAATAATAATAATGAGGTTTATCGCCCACACCAGCCAAATTTATAATGGACTCCTTTCTGCTTTCACACTCGCATATATCAAGGGAAAATGTTGCGCATAGTAAAGAGGATAATCAGTATCAGATAAAATACGTTCACTCAGGAGCTAACAAGGATTCATGTACCTGTTGACACATGTCACAGGCTATAATGTTCCACGTGATGTGACTGATTTTGCGATGTCCACGGAGAATAAGTGTGTGTCGAACAATGGAGAAGAATGAGCAGAATACATGAATTGATAAATTAGTCAGACGAAGTATTTCCTCAGAATTCGACAAGATATGATACGACTAACCCAGATTCAAACAGACGGAAGCGGATAAAAGAGATGTTCAGTTTTCTGACTTTCATAGTGCTGTCAACGATAAAAGAATCAGTCAGCCCGAGTCTTGCTCACTGAAATCAGCAAAACTCGATGACATTTAAATGAAATTGGTTGTTGCCGTTTTTGAGTGAGACTATTTTTTGACTTTAGATAAGAATCTATTCATGTGAGCAGGATGCAGCGTAGAAGGCGCTGGGACAAAGGTTGTTAGTTCATCGGGAGAATATGGAAGACCATTCAAAGCCAAGATGGAACCTGAGAATGTACAGAGCTTCAAAACATATCAGTTTCCATTGACAACGCATTTTGAAGCTGTTGATTTGAAGCGAAATTCTGTCTTCTATCGAATACACTGAGCTCTACGGAAGAAATTGAATACAGAAACACACATCTAAATTAATTTCTACCAATACTGATCTGGTTGTTAGTATTGCTATTATCACCTATATTTGTTCACGGGAATTACATGAAGCAGTTTTCTATAGAATAAAAGGCTGCTTCGTAAACGTACCTAGCATTCTTGAGAATTATTTGAGCATATTCATGTCATCGTTATGAATTAACTGTGATGTAGGTTTTATCAAACAGCTTCAGAACACACATATGTCAATTATGACAGAAGACTTACAAGGAACATAGGCGAGTTCCTCCCATATTTTTTATCTCTTCATTGGTTGGTTTGCCCAAGTCAACTATCCAATTACAGCCAGTAGAACTAACTGAAACTGTGTAATTATTATATAAAGAGAACTGGGCCCCATAAAAATCGACAGTTATTGTCCCTTAAAATAAAATAAACAAAGACACATTTTAGTGGTTTAAAGGAAATTATTGATTTGAATTTTTGATTTTCCCGTCGATTGTTTGTACCGAACTGCTCGGTCTCAGGTCGACATGTCGGCTTCTTGTGCAGACGCTTCAACGATGTCTGAAGATTTAATCAGTATACAATTGGTGGAATCCAGGATGCGCATTTCGTCCTATTTGGGACTCGTCAGCTGGATGTACCTGCATTTCTCAGTGAGTGATGATGTTCCCACCGAGGCTCGAACCCAGTACCCATAGTTTCAAACGCCAAAGCGTTATCCACTAGACTATGGGTACTAGGTTCGAGCCTCGGTGGGAACATCATCACTCACTGAGAAATGCAGGTACATCCAGCTGACGAGTCCCAAATAGGACGAATTGCGCATCCTGGATTCCACTGCTAGCCACCATCCACCAAATGTTTAAAGGAAATGTTGGAAATCTCTACAAGTTAGCCTGACTCGTGAACGAAGTGAAATAATAATGGCGAAGAGAATTCGGAAGTCATAGATTCATATCTCGCAGAAATATAGAATTTTCTTCCACTCTCAATCGCCACTCATTTTGTGTCAGTAGACGACTGTCAGTCCACGGCTATTCCGTGAAAATCGAAACATCTTGCAAAGTAGACGATAACACTGGAAAATATAATTCTTATCTGCAGGTTGACAGTACTGAGGACAGATTGAATATTGAGGAATTATCCTGAATACAGATCAATAAACTGTTTTTGACTCAACCAAAGAATATTCAGCTGGATGATATCAATGAGATTCGAGTGGCCAGGCATGCTAGCTGTCCAGTCAGTGACCGGGACAACATCTAATAAAATATAAATTCTAACTGAGTTTTCAAATCGTAGCAGATAGCGTTACTGCTGGGCAATATCGCTGTGGAGAATCTGCCACCATTCTGAAATTGATGAACACTGCTTGTTACGACTTCCCAGTTGCACTTCAGACAGAAATTCAAGACAGAACTCCGTTGGTCATTAACCTGAAATCAATGAAGTCACTGCAAACATACATCGGAGGAGCGAAATAACTTCAGTGATCTTCGGATTACTATCCCCACTGCTATCAGCGTATTTCGGTTGTTGAGAAAATTTGACCATTCTTCAATTTTCCTTATATAAATTAGCCATATTTGTCTTAATAACTAACTAACTTCCAAAATGACTAATTTAGACAATATAACTAGGCCCAGTTTTTATGTGATGTTAGTTTTTGCAATCAATCAAATAAAGTTTCAGTTTGACCATAGATCGATATCGGTTAGAAGAGAGAAGGAAACGAGCAAGTTGTAGTGAACAGTCAGGAGTATCTTAGTAGTTTAGGGCTGATCATCAGTGTGCACACAGAGGAATTAGGAGCTACGTGGAATTAGGTTAGAATTCATGGTAGAATGGGGCGGGCCACATTGTGTGAATGGTCTATGAGCTTACTTGCCTAGTAAACAAAAGGTCCTTGTAAATTAATGTGAACATTGAAAGTTGGTTTATTGACCTTGGTCGCAAATGATACAATCGTATACAAGTTGGAAGAAGACGAAAAAATACGAATAAAAGTAGATTTTCTACTAAATATTGAGTTTAATTGCCGAACATTACAATTTCGTATAGGTCCTTGTGTTTAAAAGTTAAAGCCGGTAGTAATTGTCGATTAGGAGCGTCTTCGCAAATAATAGGGACCAAGAGTTAAGTTCCTTGCCAGTCCTGATTTCTAGCCTATGAAGTGAGAGAGTACTGTTGATTAGTTCCAACTTAGGCGGACAAAGCAAATACACAGCAATTCTCTGTTTTTCAACAGATCTCCAGAATCGTGTCAATACGTGGTGCCACTTAAGAGTAGTCCACAATTAGTATCCCACAATCAAATTAACTGTATATTTATATGTATGAAAGCGTTTGCATAGCTTATGGGGATGAAATCATCTTTGCTGAGTTGTGTTTTCCTTCACTCCAATGTGCTGTTGGCGAGCATTTCCTAGTGCATACTGAAGACATCCAGGTCGACAAATTACTAACGAAATAGAAGAATCTCACTTCATCAGGCTCCACGTGCAAGATATGTCATATTCGAAGAATCAGTGTGCAGGAACTTACAGGAATTCATTGAATTCGTCTCCATATCATTTCGACAACTTCGTGCAGTCAAACTAAAAATATGTAGTGATTTAATCGATTGACTGACTTAGATTGTTCTCAATTCAAACGTGAGACTAATAGTTGAATGGTTGGTCAATATGCTCGACAACACATCGAGGTAAATACAGGTAATGGATGAAAAAGTGAGAGTAAGTTGGTTAGTTTGTCCATTATATGTGAATGGACAAATAGCAATATATCCGAACTTCAACTGTGTACTGTTGAAGACATAAAAGAAAACCAGTTGGCTGATGTTGAGGCAAAATATATTATCGCCAACATTGCCTGAATAGATATACGAGCATGCCCAAGACAGTATGCTAGACATTAAAATAAAGCAATTCATTACCGTCTCGTTGAATATTGTTCGCTCAGATCCCAAGTCAACGAGACTCCTTGAACAGCACAACTCCAAATCGTCTCAAAAGGTGTTGTTCTCCTCGGCGTGGCTACAGGATTGTCCATAATATCTAATCTTCTCAACTCACACCAACGCCTCCCTTGCAAATGAACATATTACCACATCACATATGCCAGCCTCAAAATGTGTCCATATCCTTCTGCAAATTTTTTAACATCACGTTCTTCGTTGGCTTGTTCCAACAGTTTCATCTTCCCAATGATTTCAAAAGCGGCATCATATCTTCAGTAAATGGCCAGAAAATGCAGCTGTTGAGAAACGGCTGCAGCTGTTTGTTTGAAGTGTTTGTTGTGATATGTTCGCCAATTTCCTGACTCATATAAAAGAATTCAATGAGTTAACACTGGTGTTCAAAATCCCAAACACATTATTTGTGCTGAAGTCGTGCTTTGCCCACCTCCACACTGATTTCAGAGTGAGGAAGATCTGTAACGAAATCACAGTTCCGCTACTGACATCCATATCAATCACGGCTGCCTATAGTTGAAAGGATGCTGCCAGATTGGAGATGGAAGCGACCTTTTTCAAATTTATCCCGCTGAAACTGATCGGTGCTTGTTGTTGCCGTAAGTCCATCGGTTATCTTCCTTAGCTGCATATTTTTGTCTTCACCTGTTGTCCTGTGTTCTCCGTCTGCTTCTATTGCCTTGACTTACACCTGATTGTCTTCGAGTTTGTGTGGCATTAGACATAATGCATTCACGCGTGGATTCAGCGTCTTCTAAATAACTCTCACTGGTCTAGCCTATCACGGTCGTCTTGTTCTCCACACCTCCGCTTACCGCATAATTCAGTCCGTCAAGATAAGGAAAATCATCGACGAAAGCAGACAGGCAGCCGCATCTAGCTGCTGTCATCAAGTAAAAGCCGTGCTGCACTCAGCTACCTTGTGAATCATATGGCGCGTGGCAGCATCATGTAGATGTTGATTGGGCAAACCATCATTTCGAATAAAGGCAAGTATGCTGACATCGTCGGGATAATTACTATGGATCGTGAAGTGATATGAGTTAGAGAACCGTTGGAAACAAGAGTTACGTGACAAACACTTGGTTGCATTCTGAGGTTCTCCGGTAGTATGCGCTCATCATCACACTAGAAATGGAACCAGAAGCTTCTAGGTGACGAGATGATCTCAGTGACCATTCATTCACTAGAACGCAATCCAGTTTAGCCTATGAATTCACACTTATCGTCTTATCGGCAATACATTTCACCAGCGTTATCCAATATCAACATCAGTGAGTACATATTCTCACAGTGGTCACCGATTCCCACTGGTGTTGCAGGTAGCTTATCCTACAATCAGCCAGTAAGTCAGTCAGTCAGTCACCAGTGAGGAGTGTCATTATTTATAGAGGTGATTTGTCGGGAAGCAGAACAACCGGTGAAAACATTATTACTTTAGTCATTTACACACAGAATAAATTTGAATTACCTGTGTCATCAAGTGTGAAGTCAAACATATATTCTCCTGATTCACCATCTTCAATATTGACAATGAACAGAGTGATGAGTAGGATAAGGTTCAATTTTGTCCTCTGGGAGACCATTTCACTAAAATGAAATAATTAGTGGGAAAAACATGACATTCGATTTGATGCTATTTGAAATGGATGACAGTGAGTGCCTTTTCCAGTTGTTTTGCATTCCGAGTGAGACAAACAGATTCAAAAGTACATCTCACAATTTCCTCTTCTCTAGAGTCCGCCGTGGTCTAGCGAGATGACTGCATGTTATCTCTCATCTTCTCCAGTCCACACGGTCACATTATTTGCGTAATCCGACTCATGTACAACTTGAGTGATAGCCTGATGCGCAAGAGGTGGCATAAATATTTATAGACGCATGAAGCACATTCTTGACTATAGTATGTTGAATACTCTTCAGGTTAGGTGGGCATTTGTTTAAGAGTTGTGCGGACTATTTTCCTGATGCTGAACAACTCGACTGTTCAGTGAATGAAATTCTACGCAGTCCAACGAGGTCAAATAGAACCACGGTTTCATTTGAAGACAGAAAATATTCACAGAGTAATTTGTGGTCTGCTAGACAGTCTAAATTAAAAAGGCAAGCATATGTGCATGACTCGATATACTACGAACTGATTGAAATGGATAGTTGTACGGCACACAAAATCGCACACAAACACAGACAGACATCAACCAGTAGTGCTTGTCAGCTAGCTAGTTTGCTAGCTAGATCGATTTGATCATAACACGCAGAGGTCATTTCTCTCATTTAAATCTGAAATTATCAGCGATGATCTTGATCCAACTCAGCCTAGGCGGACGCGTTTATACAAACATTCCAGTTCCTAGCTTATTTGACTAATATAGCTGAGTCAAATCGTGTGTGCAACTGACGATCTTCGAATCAAATGAGCGAAATACATCTGTAGTTTTAATCACTTCGAACACTCTGATCATTGAGCCAGTCATCCAGCAAGCGAACATCGTTGATATACATTCACTCATATCAATAATAACGTAGTATATAGCATCATGCATCCATAGTTGACTATACTATCATATCTAAAGATGATGTATATAATGGAAGCAGGATTCGGACAAGCATTATCATAATAAAAGAAACATCAATTTCACCTGACGGACATACCCTAAACCAAAAAGATTTCATCTAAATGCTGCTCGAGTAAGTGGAGATGCAGTCTGCTGGATACAGAGTCGAGAATGGGAGCACATCTGTGCATAGTCAAGTGTCTAGCTGGTTGAAGGAACCTTCATAGTGAAGCTCAAACACCAGAAAATAATGGAGACTTTCCGCTGTAATTCAACTTCAACACTCAGAAACTGGAGGTCAAAATTGCAAGGGATGCCATCACTACGGATCCCATCAGATCAGAGCAAATTTGGAAACCTTCCGTGGTAACACTTAGGAAACCTGCGTGGAAAAACATTGGAACTAACTCGCTGAAAGCGATATTCAAGGAAACATGTGCAACTGTTCTAGGAAAAGGGAGAGACGAGACGAGGAATGGCTCTCAACATACACTTACGAGGAAGCTAAGGGAAGAGGGGGAAGGAGGATGGTGAGTGAAAAGTTGACTTCATGCAGAGATGGGCAACAAAAGGAGAAGCTGAGTTAAATATACGTCGCACTGAATAAAGCAACGAAGAAGACCGCTGGGAAAGAAAAATCACAATTGCACAACATACTGACTGGCAAATGAACCACATCAGGCTGCAAGCAAAAGAGGCTTCAGAACATTATATCAGGTAACCTGGTCAATTTGGACCTTGGAAGAGATCAACCAATATGATGAAAACAGTCAAGGGAACCTGATCACCAAGTGGGAGAATCAAATCAAACTGATCACTGCAAAGGACTATTGAATCGACCACCACTGGCAACTCGCCAAAAATTACCACTAGCAGCACATACGGAACTGCCAGCGTACAACAATAATCCAACGAAAGAACACATCCTGAATGAGATCAAGCTACTGGAGGTAATTCGAGCGGGCAGCAGGACCAGATGGCATCCTTCTTGAAGCACTGAAGACGGACTCATAGATTTTGGTAGATGTTCTCACTCCATTACTACGAGAAGCTTGAAAGGAAGAAAAGGCACCTGCCAATTAAAACAAAGGATAGTTAAATTGTCAAACTAACATAGAAGGGCCCTACTCGGCAAGAAGTGACTGCTACGTATTATTATACTAAGTCGAACCACCTTGAAGAAAATAATATATGCACCGGATACTGAAATCCCCACTGGAAAAAGCTGCATTCGGGAAAGACGAATCATATGTTGATCACATTGCAACTCAACGCATGGTGATTACTGAACAAATCATAGTAAGGCAGTCAAGCCTCTACCTTTACTTTATTTCATCGACTTCGGAAGGCCTTGAGCAGATAGTCTTGACCGAGAAGCAATTTGTAAACTACTTCAATACGACGGCGTGCAGTGCTCACATTGTTATCAAACTTGTCCCACAGCTGTATGATTCTGAGCCGAAAACTCTGTGAAGCGTTCGAAGTGTATGAAGGTATAAGACAAGCTGGCCACCTATAGTGTAAAACAATGATACTGGTAATTGTTGTGGACTGGACTATATGTCAGACAATGCGTTGGGAGCTAGGATAAGGGAATACGGTAGAATACGGACAAGAAAACTATAGAATTCTGGATTTCGCAGGTGAGAAGTTTTCCAATGCCACACAAACTCGAAGACCTACCGATGGAAACCAACAAAATGGCAGGAGAGGCAGGTAGCGAATGCAGGACCAACCAACCAGCAGCAGAAACAACCAGCACCATTTATCATCAGTGGGAGAGATTTACAGAAGTTACCTCTTTCTCTTTTCTAGGAAGCATCGTTTGAACTACAGGTGGATTGCACGGATGAAGATGTCAGAGCAAGTCAGAATCCGAAAGGCGAGATACACCATCATCAGCCTAAAAGAAGTTAGGAAATTTCTTACTTTCAGAACAGAGATCACGGCTCGCATTTTCAACACAAATGTGAAGTTGGTACTTCTACGGGTCAGACACTTGGCCAGCGTGTCACGAACATAATTTCCAGCTGGCTTCAGGCTTTCATCAACAGTTGCCTTTGCTGCCATCATACTGAAGATATAATGGTCAGGTGACCAGAGAGTATAACTAACAAGAAAGTCTGGCTTGGAACAAACTAACAGGCAAATGCCGATCACTCAACGAATATGAAAAAGAAAGTGGAGATAGATCAGGAATACATTGAGGATACCGTCAAATGACAACACACGCTAGGGCCTCGGTCGGGTGGAATTCAAATGGAAAGCAACGAGTTGGTCATCCTTGATTGTCGTGAAGGAGGTCATGAGACAGAGGTGACAGATTATAGTCAATCGTGGACCCAGCTGAAGAGGACAGCAGAAAACAGAGCAAAATAGGAATGTGCTGTTCAAGCCCTCTCAGAAACTGAGGGAACAAAAATGATAATAAATTGGCTGAGTGTGAAGAAGAAATCAGCCGCTGTCAAAGTGAACAGTGAACAAGGCTCGAGTTGATAATACTTTTGCTTCTAGCGATGGCGATGGCACGTATTTAGTGTGTTGTTTTGTTTCACGTTGGATTATTCATGCAGCCTTCTACTTGAACAGTACTAATACTACTATTGTTTCCAATAGTTCTTAGAGGAATATATGGCTTCAAACGCAACTCTCCATTGCGTTCAGTTGTCCGCTAGCGTTCGCACCGACTTCACGCCCGTCCAAATTTTTTCGTCTCCTATTCACTCGATCTACTCCATGCCATTATAGCGCCGAATCACTGCCTCCTGTTAGGCTTCGACTAGATTGTCTGTCGTGTGCTGTTGATTGATGGTCTTCTCCGAAATAGGTCAATCCAACTCTATTTCTTCCTGCATTTTTATCACTGACTCAGTTCCTAGTTGGTTCACCCAGAGATCCTAACCTGTTTGGTGATCTCATCTGACCATCTGTTCTTGTGTAGTGTTGAGTGATGACAGCTAATGATGGATTTCTTTTCTCTTCGGAGGGTTGTTGTCCACTGTTAGTTTCGCTTCCCCTGTTAATATTATTGACTGCCTTACAGGTGTGAGGGCGATGCAGATGTCTTTTGAAGCCTTTAGCCCAGTGTTTTCTTTGCTTCATCCTTTTGGCGATTGACTCCTTCATTGTCATATTTCACTTGCTTAATTTGTGTTGATCTCCTCCTCCATGGGAAATTTCGGTGAATTTTGCGAGGTCTCCTTTTTCTGTAGCTTGTTCTGCTTCACTTGCCATGGCTTCATAATATTTCTTTTTCCTTCCCGGCACTCTGCTCTACCATTTTGTTCAGAGTGTTTTACCTTGCATTCAACTCCTGTTTCTGTTGCTCGTCAATAGACTGGATAATTTTTTGTTTCACCACCACCATTCTCTCATATTATTCTCCATGTGTCCGTAGTGGGCCAATGTTTATCCCACCTCTTCTATTTGTCTAATAAAACCATGCAGGTTTGACTCCACACCGCTTTCAGGATTTCACAGTGCTTTTCAACGCTGGTCTTTTTGCTAGTGTTCATTTATGTGTATACCCTTTTCCCTATGACTGCAGTAAAGATGTCCTTTGTATCCTGATCCTTTAGTTTAAGACTATTGAACTAGTCTTGTGGTGCATTTAGGGGTTCTGTTTCCTTGAAAGCTTTTTTTCTGATTCGGAGTCTGAATTGTACTAGATAGTGGTCTCAGCCAACGCCTGCTCCTCCTCTTCCTCTAACCTTTTTTATTCAGTAGGCTGCGTCTCCGATTGCTTGAACAGCATTTCGATGAAGTCAATTTGGTCTTTGGTTCACTCGTCTGGCGACAATTTATCCTTGTGGATATCCTTGTGTTTGTATACGCTGCCGCCAATCACTAGTTCTTTGAAGGCGCCGAAGTCAACAGAAAGAGTTTTCCGTTTTCATTTGATTCTCCGAGGGCTTCTCTAGACATGATTAGTTCTCTTCTTTTGCTGTCTGGTTCCGGTTAAGCATTCCTGTCTCCTATTAGTATTTTAATGTCGTCGCCTGGAGTATAATCCTTTGCTGCCTGTAGTTGTTTGTTGAGCTATTCTTTCTTTTTGAGGTGCATGGCACTGTATAACAGACGCTTTACTTCCTTTTGAGGTAAGTCTGGCAGTCACTTTCTTTGGCGAGATCGCTCCCCACTGTATCATGGACTTCGGTGCCGTTGGTGACATCATGATGTCCGCACACTCGCAGTGCTCATGGTTGTCTTCTGTGTGACCCTGATAGGTCACTGACTAACGCATTTACAATTGTGTGAATCCATTCCCATTCAATCTGCTTTCGCAGTACCTGTATTTTTACATATCTTCACCTCATTTGCAATCCGCTTTGCTTCGCCCAGTCTCGTACATGGTGCAGACCTTCTATGTTCCCACCTACGAAAACCACCACTAAGGCGAACAGACAGTAAAATAGTGTTTAATGAATTCTAGTGCAATAATTTTTTTAAAGAAAAATGGTTTCGAAGCATCAAAAGAATTCCATAGAAATGTTGGAAACGATTGTAAAGAAACAATATTGAAAAAGTGGAATTTCTAAACACCAAACTATGGAGAGAATTCCAAAAAAATCGGGTGAACCGGAGGTTAACAGCCCCATACATTGAAATCCAGATGAATTTTATCAAGTGTTAAAGAAATAGCCAGCTATTTTCGAAAATTATTAGTGAAATATAGCCAAAACTATAATCCTGTACGCCTTTCATCGCACATGGTTGAGAATATTGAAGACGGGAACCAACACACTAGCAGAATAATCAGCCTGCGACCATACGACTTCAAGAGAAAACGCAGAGAAGACCGAGATGAAGGAACTAATCAATCAGCGACAAATATAACTAAACGACTAACTAACCAACCAACAAGGCAACGCCACCAACAAGCAGCAATCACTCTCAACGGAATTCATTTGCAGGATGTCACTTCCTTTACTTATCTACACACCATCATTTCAACTACACGACAACCTGTAGTTGAAATGACCCTCATTTTCACTACAGGCAGTAAGGACAAATGAGAATGTGAAAGCTAAAGCTGATCGGGAACTTATGACAGACCCTCATCCTCACCTTTAAATCAATTTGCTAATCCCCTACACTCCGCCTGAGCAAAAGGAATAAAATGAGGATTTTTTAACACCACTCTGAAAGTGGGTCAGTGAGTCAGGAATAGCATTTCGAACAGTCAGCCGCACATTTGCATCAGAATTTGGAACCTTAGGGAACAATGGTGACAATAACAAACGAAAAACATCACTTCCAGAGGGGTGAGACTTAACTCAATCCAAATGCTGTTCGTGAAAACTTGAGCCACGGTTCATTGCTCTTTTATTCACGTCCTTTGTGGATAAATAAGGCTGATTAGAAATCCTTCTGCCACATTATCAGCTTGTCTGAATATTTAGGAAAGACTGATTCCTGAAATTGGCCGCGATGAAAAGGTGAGATTGAAAGGTTATTGCCTACACATTTAGGCAATTAATTGTACCTCAACAACTTCAGCTTCACTAATCCATAAGTCTCTACCAGCCACTCAGTGACTGAGTGATCTGAAGAATATATCATATCAAGTATTGAGTTGAGTTGAACATTATCAGACGAAACTCAATAATTTGCGACCCACGTACATACACACTCAGAGAGTGTCTAGCATAGCGGCTGCCATTCTTCAAGGATAAGCTAGCGATAAATAAACACCACTGGAGTTGCATGCCACTACTGTCACTCTTAAGAAGGTGAATGCTTTCATCATGGAATTAAACAAAAGCATAAAGACAACAACTGAGGAAACAGATTTTCATTGCTGCCTGAAAAATGTAATTCTGCAATTGCTCCAGCCCATGTACAGATTGCTTAAGGTCACACTCAGCCCAATACTATATATCATGATTTCTAAATTATGAAGTCACTAATCTGGATTCCTTGACCAAAAAATTAGTAACTGCCAAAACACCATCTCTGCAACATTCATACACATAAACAGTGTGTTTTGGTAATGAGAATGTGAATCATTTTCTCAAACATTAATTACACATTAAATAGTATATTATATGAATAAATATATCTCTGTAACTCACCTCCAATTTGAGCTGAATAGTCGATAACTAACTCGACACTGATAGAATATCTCCTTCCCCTATTTATACCAATAACAAATGACACCATTCCATTCATTGGTTATTTCCACCAACCAATCACAATTTGACTGAATCTGTTTGTGAATGTTTGTGTGACAAATGGTAATTCAGTCATGATTGGATTAAACTTGATGAGAGAAAAGGCTTGAACACAGAACAATGATAATATCAAGAAAAAAAATCGAAACCGTAGGTCATTCCTCAGATTACTGATTATTTCTGGCCAGATAAACGATTAACGTTACAAAATGTATTTTACGCAGGCACATCCATAGTTTCACATCAACTAAATATTAAAAGAAGTACTTGAGTGGATGGTAACTAGCTTCGGAAGAGACGATGTGTTTGATGCCTGTTGCACGAATGTTGATAGCTCTCATGATTTCAGTGTGCTTGTGGATGACGCCTTGACCACGGGCACTGAATATAAGTCTCAGTGACGGTATCACTAAATTACCAGTCTCCAATAGGGTGAAATGCACATCGTGGATTCGATTCCACTGCTACTCACCAGACATCACAATAACTTAACCTTCATCGCTACACGTCCTTGTGACGTACTCACTGGAAGGCACCAGCACGTGAAATGAGGATGAACAGTTTGATCCAGTCAGTTGACAAGAAATAAAGATGCATTAAAAAACTAACGGGGAGTACAAGATAGCTGCGTTGAGGTAGCTTTCTACCTTTCGGCAGTTCGAATCACCTGTGTGGACCTACATTCAGAATTCATCGGCCATCGAGTCGTATATCACTGGCTGAATGCTCTGCGAACAAGAGTTCATCAAAACAGCAAAGCCCTAATTACAAACCACTTCGGTGGCTGTGTACTTCCGTTTAGTCTAAAACAAGGATGACGAAACAGTTGCTCAATACTCGAGTGCTTTTTGACCGTTCTCCAGTTCATTCAATTGCATGATCTAACATCGAATGCCAATCAATCCCTCTCTATGTAGGACTCTATTATATTAGTGATGACATAAGTTATTAGAGAAATTTTGAATATGCCAATTAGTAGTAAAATGCATTTCACACTGCCTATGATTCATGTAGTTTATCCACAGCATTCGTGATCACGATTCACTTTCCTCAGAACTGTTATTGAAATACATTGTCTGACTGCTAGGGATGAATTCAGCAGAGATGAATTCATCCTCAAAGGTCTACAAAGGGATTTACTCATATAAACATACAGTTTCCTTGGTTGTAAATTACTTGGAGATTCAAGTGTTAGTGTGTAGCGACTTGATTTTGTTCATGTGACCCCACGGGATGACACGATTTTGGAGCACCGGTGAAACGCAGTGAGAACTGTCGGGCAGCTGTTTCGACGGCTCACTTTGTAACTCATCAACACTACGCGCCCACTGAAACGGTTCAAAAATATTACCTTCAGGTTACATGGCAAGCTAGATAGTAGACCATTAGTGCATTATGGCCGGAGTCAATCGGTCATGGTTTCCAAATTACTTCCAACTGGGTTCGAATTTCAGGGAATGCGCACTGGTGATCCGCTCCGAAATGTAATGAAACAGCTGTTATCAAACTATGCTCAAACTTGACGCTTAGGTTCATTGATGAAACAGGCATCATATAAAATAAGGCTTAATTAAATTGTAAAGATTTAATATAATTTGAGTTAATTAATAATGTATGGCTAAATGTCATGCTGTGTAAAGTGAACTATGCTAATGGTAATTCTATGCGTACATATAGAACTACTCAAGTTAATTCATTCCTCAAAGATGGATTTACAGTCACTTGATTGTTTTCAAGTTTGATGAAGCTCTGTTTGAAGTTATTCTTGGAAGTCGTAACTATCAGTGTTCACCGAATTCAAGAGCATGGCAGATTTTCATTTGTGATATTGTTACCAGTCAAGCTATCTATCACGAATCAGAATGAGTTACCATTGAATTTGTCATTAGATCTTGTATAAGTGACTGAGCTGTCAATGTGCTTACCTCGTAATTCGAAGTTTCTGTGTGTTGAACCTTCCCGGATCCCTGGATGAATCCACTCGTAAACACATTGATTCGTCTATATTCAGGATAGAGTCTGACTATTTAATCTTTTACCAGTTCTGTAAGCCTCGATGGAGATAATGATGACATTTTCCAGTGGTATCTTAAATTTGATTTGATCAAGGGATGATTATCATTTCAATTCATTCATGAACTAAGTCTACTTGTTAAGTAGGCAAACAGATAAAAGTGAAAACGTCAACTAACAATGTTTGAAATTTGATGACGTCAAATTTCACGTTGTAAAACAGAATTTATTCAGAGTGACAAATCTCCTTGTCTCACTCTCCTTCTGTCTATAACCTCCCACACTTTATTCGAGTAACATCACTGTATTCCATCACACTGAATACTTGTGTCCGACTGCATTGCGTGCTACAGCTAACATTGTTCACAGAAAATGTATCTGAGTAGAACTTGGTAACGCAGATTTCATGGGATCTATGTTCCACGTCGCAACTGACTGCGATACGGACTGACTGCAGCCAATACTAATACTACCACTAACCACTAACACTACCACCACATCGATGAGTTGAGTCGAAACCATATTTGCATATGGAGTAAGTGATAAGTTCATAATTGTCTCTTTTTTGTGAAGACAATTCATGATGCATTCTTGGAAGGACGACAGATGCATGTTTTTGAAGTAATCGTGGAGTGGGTTGTTCATTCACCGTCACCCTGACACATGTCAGTGTGTTGACAATGTGTGTGCTGTTTCGAACAGATGCTGAGACGTGACGCTGGTGGGCGGAGTTGGATTACTGACACGTGGACTATCCAACACGTTTACAAGAAACCTATTTGAATACCGTCCCTCTTTCTTTCTTGTTCGCATGAAATAGAATTGGCGTGAAAATTCTCTAACACATCTGGGATAATTGGGAGTATGATGTCAGTCAAGTTAGGAATCTGTAGATGTAGGGAATACTTTCAACCCCAGCATCATCGTGGTTGTTAGAGTTTTGCTTCATATATTTCAGTAACACGAATAACCCTATTTCGGTAGAAGTTAACTTCTACAAAGTTAACACTATGAAGATTTGACTGTCTCACAGCCAGTGACCCCTTCCAAATACTGATCGGTGCTTGTTGTTGCCATGAGTACATCGATCAGCTTCCTTCCCTCCAGCCACTTTGTCTCCACTTGAAAACATGCATTCTCTGATGCTTCTCTTTTAAAGATCGCCATTTTTTGTCTGCAAGTCTTCGAGTTTGCTTGAACTGAGAAATAAATCATAGGTTGGTAATCTCCTCTTAATCTCGGTTTCGAATCGAATTCTATGCTCAGTTTCCGCTCGCGGATCGTGAGACATCTGGCATTTTCAGGCAGTTATTTTTTCGGCAAACAACCGTTGCAAATAAAGAGAAACGTTCTCAAACATTCGAAATATCTAATGTGGATCATGATGTGAAATCAGTTGGATAAACTTTTACCTTCGAGAATTACGTGGAAATCATTTCGGCTTAGAATGAGAATCTTCAGTGGTATGCACCCATCATGGCATGAGGAATGAAAACCCAGAAACTGTCAGAGGACGATATGATCTCTGTGACTATTGATTCATCAGGACTGAATCCAGTGGCCGATGAATTCTCCCCCTCGCTATTTCTCAATATACAGCATCTCCACCGATGTCCAATCTTCATCCTGCAATCTGTCAGTCAGTCACCAGTGAGAAGTATACTGACTTCAAAGAGGTTATTTGTCGGGAAGCGGAATCAGGAATGGAATAATTTGAATTCCACTCATTTACATACACAGAACAAATTTCAATTGCCTTCATCGTCAACTGTCCGAGGAAGCTCCTTATTCATTTGATTCAATTTTCAAATTAATGAATACGCACAGACTGACGAGTACCATTAGGGTTGAATCTGGGACACCATTCTACTAAAAATATATAATCAGAGGGAAAAATGATGACATTCACTTTGAAGTAATTTGAAATCAATGACAATGAGCAGCCTTTACAATCGCTTTGGAATCCGAGTGGTACATACGGCTTCGATAATACATCTCAGCTTTTGTATTATTTGCTGCTGTTCTCTGAACTATAGCATTACCAATGCTCATAATCTCTCATCTCCTCCAACTCGCACCATCCGATTCGTGTCATCCTCAGACTCACGCAACACTCGTCATTTACAATTTGGAGCGCACTCGAGCAATGGCTTGGCACAAATGTACCTTCATGACATCGTGCATGAAAAGGATTCTTGAAAGTAATTAGTTGTGTATATTTCAAACTAGTGAACACTTTAGAAAAAGAAATGGAGCAATTACGAAGAAACGACGAACACCTTCCACAACAATCATAAAGGCAACACACAAGCTGTATGGAATGCAGAAACCTATGCCTAACAACATACTTCCGATTCAACGGCCAAATATATGAACAAGTCAAAGGAACACCCATGGGATCGCCAATATCAGGTTTGATTGCAGATGCAGTGATGCGAAGGCTTGAAAACATAATTCTACCAAAGGTCAAACCCAAGACTTGGATTAGCTACGTCGACGACACATTAGTAATAGTCAAAAGAAACGAGTTAGATAAAACTCACAACTTAATAAACAACGTCTTCAACGACATCAAATTCACAAGAGAGGAGGAATCCGAGAACCAAATCCCATTTTTGGACGTCTTAGTCAAGTGAACAACCACAGGGTAATTAGAAACTCAAATTTGTAGAAAATCAACTCACACAGACCAAATCCTGAATTACAACAGCAACAATCCAATAAAACACAAAAGGAATTGCATACAAACACTATTCAAGAGGGCAAGGACTCATTGCAGCACTCCCATCTTAAGGAAAATTGAAGAAAAATATCTCATGGACGTCTTTCAAAAGAATGGATATCCATGTAACTTCATCAAAAGACATATACACCCAAGTCAATTTATCAAACCAAAAGCCCCCAAGGTAAG